AGCAAGATCAAAAAACAAACAAACAAACGATAATTAGCACTTCTCATAGAGAAGAATACCAGTAACATTAAGACTTTGAGGTAGAAGCTGTCTTGAAGACATGAAAGCCTTCTTCTTAGTGAAACAATCAAGCTTCATCACATGTGTGCACACATGCGCATGTTTAACAGGGGTTTCTTTGATCGTATTTCTTCGCCAGATCCCTAATTCTGTTGTCTTTTTTCTTTAGTTTATCCCAGGTGACATGCAGCTTTAACAAAGGTTAACTCATTGTCAATTGGACAATAAAATCAAAATCAACTAAAATAACACACAGATGGACAATTCAGGCACAAAACTAAAGAAAGGATATTTAGAATTAAATGGGTGCCAATTCATACTATAATAGCAAGTTAATATGCGAATGTTTAGAAAGTAAAAATGTACTACAGCATTTTTTTAAGGTAAAGGCATTTGCAAATTTTCATTCACCAAATTTCCACGCCAATCAGTGCCTTCCAGGAGTGGATGAAATATAAATAAATGAATACGTGTCTATACTGTCCAGTGTATAAAGAATTGCACTATAAATCCTTATACTTTTGATAAAAATCAATATCAATAATGTGTAGAGGAAATGTATAATTTTTAAAAAGCAAAAGAAACTGGGAACAAGGCCTGGGCATCAGTTTCTGGACCTGCCTGGTGTGCCTCCTACTCCTGTGTGAGAGCTGGTCAATGGGAAGATGCCAGGGTTCTGGTGCAGTGGATGTGGGGAGGGGCTTCAGGAGCTCCAGTTTATCAAACTGCACAGCTAATTCAGGCACAGCTAGTTTTCGAAACCACCGGGCCCAAGGACAGGTTGTTAGAAACCAGAGATTCTCAACCCCGTCTGTGCATTAACATCATGTAGGAAGCTTTAAAACTGCCCAGGCCTCCCTTCAGATCAATTAAACCAGAATCTCAGGGAGTTAAGATTCAGCCATCAGCAATTTTAAAGCTCCCTGGGTGATTCTATTTGTACCAGAGCCTCTATAAGAAAACATTCAGGGAGTGATGCCAATGTTGATATACAAGTTATTTTCTTAAAACTTATTGGCAATATTCTGTTGAATAGATTTTCTAAAAGGTAAACAGATTCCTCTGTGCAATTTTCATTTTCTAAACAAAATAGGTTTCTAATTCCAACCCATTTTTCTATATTTTAATATATCACAAATACAAATTTCTGATTTTACTTTATGCTACTTCACAATCTGGCATTGAAGTAAACTGAAGTTAATATTTACAATCTTAGAAATTTACATTAAAGGGATAAAAAAGGTAAAAAATAATAATAATAAAACCCAAAACATTAGGCTCAACCAGTGGGAAAGACCTCGTGTCTTGCTATGAGACAAAAGGAAAAAAATGTGTCAGATCAGTATAAGCATTTCAATATCAGAAGGTCCAAAAGATAAATATAGATCTGATGTTATGTATTTTTACAGACAGCATTTCCCAATTTTTTGTTGAGTGTTTTGGCTGTTAAAAGAATAAAGAACTTCTCTTAGGCTGAGTGTTAAAAATAACAGCAAGAACAAATCAAAACAGGAAGATTCATTTAGGTTAGTTGAGCAGAAAGGGAAGATAAATGCATGCCCATCTTTTGAAGAGAAGATGAGAGAACATTCCATTAAGATTACATTAACTTACAAAATTACTCACGGCAGATATCAATGATTCTTTCAAATACTCATATTTAACTAATAAGTCTAAGTATCTCCAAAACATCTGCATGCAGTGACAGGAAAGATGATCTAGATTAGGTTGAAAATACAGACTACAAGTCCATCTTAAGAAAGCAGTTAAAAATCCACACTATGATAATTGTTATTTAACTCAAGCACATGCAAGTTTCTTTCAAAGCTGTCGTTTAGCTCTTAAAAGCACTGTGTCTAAAATTGAAAGTCCAGTAGCTCACTACATGTTTGTACTTTTTAATTGGCAGCTCATTTTCTATAAAGCATCAAAATATTAAAACTAAAGCACACAGTCATGCTATTCTCAGGCACCACTACATCGTGCCATGTTTTATATACCTTTCATTGATTTCCTCAAACGACTTATGAAGGAGGGAGGAGGAGGATGGGGGGGAGAGGGAGAGAGAGAGAGAGAAACTAATTAACAACAAAAATGAAAAACCAGCCTAGAATGTTAAGGTTGTGCATGTTCTAAAATCTTGATTCCTCAGCTTCCCTGAGGCTGTTTCTCTTGGACAGCTTCAGTTGGGGCAGCAGGAAATTAGCTCTCAGAAGGGATGTGGGGAGGGGAGGTCTGGGCAGGGATGGAGTTTCCTGTTCTGCTCTAACTGTGTGATAAGCAAGGCCAGCAATGAGTTGCTCATGCTTTGCTTCTCTCTATGAATTCACAAGTGCCTTCCAGAATGGAATTCTCCGAAGCAACAAAAATGACTTAAATTTGTTCAATGTGGGATATATACCAAAAATGTAATCAGTAGTTATCTCTGGATGAATACCTTCTCTGTGCTTTTCTGTATTCTCCAAATTTCCTAAAATAGATATATGTTGCTTTTATAAGCAGGAAAAACAATGTTTTCTTGTTTACAATTTTTTTTTCTAGAGAGAATAAAATATTCTTATCAAAGTTAAGGTTCTTAGGGAACACAAAGCACTTTATTAATGTTATACTTCACAAGAGGTGCCTAATTTTAAAATATTAAAGCTTTGCCTTAATTAGACATAAAGCAACTGAATGATTTTTATTTTCCTTTGAAGATGCCATGTCCACCTCACCTAAATTTGCCCTGGCTGGAAGTATCCCCCAAAGCAAATCAAAAGCCTAACATCACCCCACTTTGCCTTGCTCTATCTCTAAACTTTACAGGAGAACTGGAGAGATTTGAAAGGGAGGTCCCCATTCATCATCATACAATGGTGCTTTCCTCTGTTTTCACAATCAGGTTTGGGACCACCCTTAAGGAAAGTATCTCCATTACTCCTGGTTAATCCTGGCTCCATAGAAAACCAGTATCTTAGTAACTGTTCTAGAGAATTAGGGGAGCAAAGGGATGCTTCTGTGGTGCAATTTGCAGAGCACTAGAGAGAATCTCAGTCCATAAGTTACTCGTTTGAGTTAAGGGACCTGGTCCCCAGGAAGACCCTTATAAAAACATCAACATGTTACCTGAGAGGAGTCATATTATGTCATCCTTTTGCATGCTGGAAGTGTAGCGAAATGTTACTCTCAGCCATTTGGCGAGACTCAGAGGTAATAGCCCCTGTGAGTGGTCTCTTCAGATTAGGAAGTGGAAAGGACAGGTCCAGGCGCCAGCATGATGCCAGGCACTGGAAGATCAAGCTGGCCCCCAAACAGAGCACGCCATGAACAAGGTTTTCAGGCTGCTTTCCTTCCCTCGTAGAAGGTGACCAATCCATTGTGACAGAACAGAGGATGCTGTGGCCTGATTTCCACNTCCCTGGGCTACCTTAAGAATTAGGAAATGGAGACAGAGGTGAAATAAAAAAGTGGTTTGTGGTTTGACTGTGAAGAGCCTTTCATGTCCACCAAGAGTTTCCATTTTATCTTTTAAGGCAGGGAGAGCCACAGGAGTGTTTGCACAAGGAAAGTTTAGAAGAATGCCTGGCAGGAGTCTGAGAAAGGATCAGGGCAAGTGGGCTAGACAGGCAGTGAAGTCAGCTGGGAGGACCCCACGACGCCAGTGAGGGAAGACAACAGGAGCCTGAACTAAGGCTTTGGGGATGCAGAGGGCGAACATGACAGTCTAGGAATGAATAAATAGTGGTGACTAGTACATACACTAAGCCCACTCAATACACGTCACTGACTACATAGAGGACTTTCTGTAGCACAGAAACTCTGGCTGTAGATACTACAAGTAAAATGTTCGAGTTTTCTCTTATGTCCTGACCTATTCAACTTGAACATCCGTATATGAAAGGGCAAGGGGACATATCTTTATGAGCATGTCCTGCAATGGTTGTGACTCTCTTTTTCATTATTAAAACACAACAGGGCACAGCAGAGAACAAGAATGCATCCTCTTAACAGAACAGCGTTTTCTAAGCAAATGTGTTTTTCGAAATATGGAAATTTTGACTCTAAATACGCTTGATAGCGTTCCTTAATTTAAGCATTTTCAGTGTTGAGAAAAATCATTTACTATACAAGCACTGCCTTTAGAGACATAATATGAAGGGAGAAAAAAGCAGCAAGATCAAAAAACAAACAAACAAACGATAATTAGCACTTCTCATAGAGAAGAATACCAGTAACATTAAGACTTTGAGGTAGAAGCTGTCTTGAAGACATGAAAGCCTTCTTCTTAGTGAAACAATCAAGCTTCATCACATGTGTGCACACATGCGCATGTTTAACAGGGGTTTCTTTGATCGTATTTCTTCGCCAGATCCCTAATTCTGTTGTCTTTTTTCTTTAGTTTATCCCAGGTGACATGCAGCTTTAACAAAGGTTAACTCATTGTCAATTGGACAATAAAATCAAAATCAACTAAAATAACACACAGATGGACAATTCAGGCACAAAACTAAAGAAAGGATATTTAGAATTAAATGGGTGCCAATTCATACTATAATAGCAAGTTAATATGCGAATGTTTAGAAAGTAAAAATGTACTACAGCATTTTTTTAAGGTAAAGGCATTTGCAAATTTTCATTCACCAAATTTCCACGCCAATCAGTGCCTTCCAGGAGTGGATGAAATATAAATAAATGAATACGTGTCTATACTGTCCAGTGTATAAAGAATTGCACTATAAATCCTTATACTTTTGATAAAAATCAATATCAATAATGTGTAGAGGAAATGTATAATTTTTAAAAAGCAAAAGAAACTGGGAACAAGGCCTGGGCATCAGTTTCTGGACCTGCCTGGTGTGCCTCCTACTCCTGTGTGAGAGCTGGTCAATGGGAAGATGCCAGGGTTCTGGTGCAGTGGATGTGGGGAGGGGCTTCAGGAGCTCCAGTTTATCAAACTGCACAGCTAATTCAGGCACAGCTAGTTTTCGAAACCACCGGGCCCGAGGACAGGTTGTTAGAAACCAGAGATTCTCAACCCCGTCTGTGCATTAACATCATGTAGGAAGCTTTAAAACTGCCCAGGCCTCCCTTCAGATCAATTAAACCAGAATCTCAGGGAGTTAAGATTCAGCCATCAGCAATTTTAAAGCTCCCTGGGTGATTCTATTTGTACCAGAGCCTCTATAAGAAAACATTCAGGGAGTGATGCCAATGTTGATATACAAGTTATTTTCTTAAAACTTATTGGCAATATTCTGTTGAATAGATTTTCTAAAAGGTAAACAGATTCCTCTGTGCAATTTTCATTTTCTAAACAAAATAGGTTTCTAATTCCAACCCATTTTTCTATATTTTAATATATCACAAATACAAATTTCTGATTTTACTTTATGCTACTTCACAATCTGGCATTGAAGTAAACTGAAGTTAATATTTACAATCTTAGAAATTTACATTAAAGGGATAAAAAAGGTAAAAAATAATAATAATAAAACCCAAAACATTAGGCTCAACCAGTGGGAAAGACCTCGTGTCTTGCTATGAGACAAAAGGAAAAAAATGTGTCAGATCAGTATAAGCATTTCAATATCAGAAGGTCCAAAAGATAAATATAGATCTGATGTTATGTATTTTTACAGACAGCATTTCCCAATTTTTTGTTGAGTGTTTTGGCTGTTAAAAGAATAAAGAACTTCTCTTAG